CTTCCGGAGCCCGGCTGGTCCTGACCACCGCCAGATCCGCCGCCAGCGTCACCACCGCCGCCAGATCCGCCGCCAGCGTCACCACCAGCGTCGCCACCAGATCCGCCACCAGCGTCGCCGCCAGCGTCGCCACCAGCGTCGCCACCAGATCCACCGCCAGCATCGCCGCCAGATCCACCGCCAGCATCACCGCCAGATCCGCCGCCAGCATCACCCCCAGAGCCACCGCCGACCGAGCCAGAGCTGTAGGGGCTTCCGGAGCCCGGCTGGTCCTGGCCGCCGCCAGCGCCACCGCCAGCGTCACCACCAGAGCCGCTGCCAGAGTCGCCGCCGGAGCCGCTGCCAGAATCGCCGCCGGAGCCGCTGCCAGAGTCGCCGCCGGAGCCGCTGCCCGAGTCGCCGCCGGAGCCGCTGCCCGAGTCACCACCAGTCGAGGAGCATCCGTACTTGTCCAGACCGTCGATGCCTGCATTTGGATGCGGAAGGGTGTGTCAACACGGCAATCCTATCGTCGCCGAGCAGATCCTCTCGACGGTGCACTTACCTGCGGCGGAGTAGGCGTCGCACGAGTTGGCGTGGTCATCCGGGCACTTGCCCGAGTCGTCAGGGAGGACGACGTTGGCCTCGACCTTCTGGAAGCTGCCGCATCCGATGCCGTCCATGGCCGACTTGTGGACGTGAGAGTGCTTGAGGACGGAGCAGGCGTCGTCCTTGCTGCAGCCCTTGGGGATGCACGGAGGCTTGCCGCCCGGCCAGTTTTTGGCGTGGGTGGGGAAGTCGGGGCACTGGTCGCCGCCCGAGCCGGGGGAGCCAGGGAAGCCAGGGAATCCAGGGAAGCCAGGGAAGCCACCCGAAGGGAAGCCCGGAGGGAAGGGGTCGCCCCCTCCACTGCCGCCGGGAGGAGGCGACGAGCCGGGGGTGTCGGGGGTGTCGGGGGTGGTGGGCGGGCTGTTGCCACCCGGGACCGAGCCGGGGCTGTAAGGGCTAGCCGGAGGGCCGGTGGGCGGGTCGTCCTGCGGGCTATTGCCTGGGGGGCTGTCGTTGCAGTCGTCGCCGCCGGAGCCGTCCGGGGTTGGGGGAGTGTCGTCTTGGCCTCCGTTGTCAGCCGGGGCGAGGTGACGACGCACCATGTGAGGCTGGACGCCGTGGCCACCCATGGGGTGCGAGAGGGCCATGGCCGTGGCCGCGAATGCGGTGAGGGCGAGGAGAGTAGCAGGGCGCATCTTGATGCTGTAGTTACGCTGCTTGTAGAGACTGTGTGCGTATGCGTATGCGTGTGTGTGTGTGCGTGTGCGAGTGCGTGTGCGTGTGCGCACGAGGTGCTAGGTATCTACGAGGCTAGCTCAAGTAGATCGAAGCGGGAAGGTGAAGGTGTCAATCTGAAGGGGTGGGGGCCTTGGATTAGGGGATGGATAAGAGTGAGAGAGGTTGAGGAACGAGCGAAAGAGGGAGGAGGCCAGAGTCGGGCCTGGGTCTTTATACCCTGACCTCGCCGCTGCGCGCCCCTTCCGCCGCTGCCGGCTTGGCCTCCTGCGCACTGAAGGAAGCTGAGGAGGAGAAGAGAGCGAGGGCGAGGGCGAGGGCACAGGATCAGCCCCAGGCTCTGCGTGCCACCTCGCTGCCTGGCTCTGATCTAACGTCGCCCGAGGCGGCTTGACCGTCCGGATGGGCGTCCGTCGAGTCCAACCCACCTTGGGTCTGCTGGCCGAGGGGTCCGTTCGCAAGTAGTCGTGCCCATGGATGAGCCCGTGCGTGCTGCTTGGCCTGTGCCGATTCGTTGCGAGGCTGGAGGGACGGTAGGCCATGGCTGATGCTGACCGGCGCCCACTGCAACGGCGGTGGGTTCGATTAACGCAAAAAGGTGGGTGGCAACACCCACCACGCAAGGGGCGGGGCGGTCATTCTCTGCCGGGTCGTCGCCATGAGCGCGTCGCCCCGAGGATGCCGTCGAGCTGTGGTTCCAGCCCCAGCCTCGTTTTTCGTTCGAGGTCTCGCCGTGTCTCGAGGCCCAAGGTGGATCGCCCTCTTCCGCTCGCAGCTCATCGGTCGGGCCTACTGCCAAAACTCTTGCTTTCTGCTTCGTTGAGGGCGTAGAGGGTCCATGCGTCTTGAGATCCCTGCCAAGCTCTAGCCGTGCCAACGCCCAGGTGCCATCTTGCCCGTCGAGCTGGGAGGTACGCTGATGTGCCGAATCCCAGACCGAGGAAAAGACGCTAGGGCTGGCCGCCATCCTCGACCGACAAGCGCAGATGAGATGAGTGGGGGCGCTGGTTGGTGGCGGGCTTAGGATGGCTGAGCCGCAAGCTCGGGGCTAAGATCGAGGCCGGGCGCCCCAGGCAGGCCAGGCTGCATCCGAGAATCGCATTCTTTGCCCTTGACACGGGCCCATTGTGCCCCTGCTGGCCTTAAGTTTGTTGTCCTTTGCTAGGCTTGATCTGCTTTTACTGCATCTCTGCCTTGTCCTCCGTGGCGCAGGCATCGTCGCACTACTCTGACGTTGCCGCTCCAAGGCGAGGGAGAGGGCTACTCGGGCGAAGAAACGCCGTCTCCGTCCATCGGTCTGCTGCCTCGTGAGGACGATCGGTCCCGGTCCCGCCTGCCGGCGCGATGATCACGGCAGGGCAGGGCCGCGCTGCAGGCGTACCGACGCCCCGGCTCGGCATCACCACCCGTCGCAAGCAAGCCACCGAACACGGGACGGTAACCGCAGCGCACACTAGTGCGTTGCCTCTGTTGCTGCGCCCGCCGACGCGTGGCTGATGCTGTGCCGAGGGTGTCTCTGTGTGGGTGTGTGATCAGAGAAGGGATCGTCCGTTTACGGCGCAGGTGGGACGAATGGCCATCGAGTCCCGCTCAGCCCACCGCGATGGGCCGGTTGCCGTCCCGGTCGCAGATGCGGCTGTCGCGGCCTCTCCGATCGTCTCTCTGCCAGCATGGCACAATGCACCGCAGAGGGACCCGCGCGATCCTCGGAAGATTGCTCCACGCTACCGGGGCATTGCATCTGACAGGCCCGCTGTTCGGTAGTCTGCGAAGCGAAGTGGGGGTGTACTCCGGCCGGCACATCGCATAGCAGCCTCTCCGCCCTCTGCTGACCCGTGAGACCACGAACTCCAACCGTAATCAGCCTCGCAACAGCCACCAACGGCGACTCACCGGGCTGCCAGCAGAGTCAGGCTTGAGGGGCCTGCGCAGGGATCCCGAGCGTAGCGCCACGGCAGGCGCCTGCAGCCGCGCACGCCCGCCACTGCCGGCATCTTGGTGCCCGCTTTGGGCGGAATCGGCCATTGGCCGATCGAGGAGTGGGGCGTCTCGCCTCGATGGACGTGGGGCTTGCGGTCAACATTCAGGATCATCGGGACTACGGAGGACAAAAAGGTGCGGCGGAGAAGCCGTCGTGTGGGCGTCGGACCGGGACGACGGCGACCGGCCCAGACTACCACCTTGAAGATGCCGCGTTCGGCGTCTTTGCGCCCGGAGGTGGGTGCGACGAGGTCAACGGGACCGGCTCGTCCCATGCGGCGCTCATCTAGACAGCGCAGCCGAGGAGCCACCTCAGGAGGTCGCGAACGACGCCTGGCAGAGAACATGGGTAGGAGCCAGAGAAGCCAGGTGATCAGCGGTGCCATCGACGGGCCCGTCTGCAGGGCGGCAACTCACCGAGCTCCGTGAAGAGAGAGCAGTGGGCCGAGTAGTTGCGCATCGCGCACTGTCCGTTGCTCAGCGGGTAGGTGACCTGCTCGAGCTGGGCCTGTCTTGGCGAAAGCGGCGAATGGAGTCACTCGGGCAGGGTCAGCTTTGACTGCTCACCGCGCCGCATCGCGATGTCTTCTCCTCATCAGCTGCTCTGCTCGAGACTCACCTCAACCTTGGACACGGGCGCGACAGACTTGCAAGCTGTGAGTCGGATGGGGCCAGCGCCCCAGGTCAGCTATCAGCTTCTCTCGGCCCTCAGCAGGCATGTTGCAGACTCACAGTCGACCAGGGGCAGGATGTCGTTCTGGCCAAAGTAGCACATCTGCTTCTGCTGGACTGCGGGGACCAAATAGCATGCAAGAAGGCCTCAGCGTGCAGCTCGTCTGTCGATCGCGCCGCCGTAGCATCAAAGGGATGTACTCACGCTTCTTGTCGGCGCCGTTGAAGATGCAAGGGGCGCGGTAGACCTTCTGACCACCGTCGCGTCGCTCAATCGCGACCTTGGATCCCTCGGACATGGTGTCGGTGGGACCGACAGCCTTGAGGTGGCCGAGACCTCCCAGGCCACCGAGGCCGCCCAGGCCGCCCAGACCGCCTAGGTCAGGCAGGGGGAGGGCGCCAACGATCTCGTCGACGAGGCCGCGACGCTCAGCGCTGGGCTCGCCAGCGACCGGGACCTTTCCGGGCAGGGCCAAGACGACGGCGAAGAGAGCGACAGTGGCGAAGAGGACGGAGCGAAGGACCAGCATCGTGGAGCAGAGCTTTGCTGTAGAGAGAGGTAGGTGTGCAAGGGATGGCTTGGAGATTGTTGTCGCCGAAGAGGGACGGTCTGGATGCTGGAGTGGAAGGCGGATGGAGGATGAGGAACGGGGATGCTGCCATGGGCTCGAAGCCGGCTGCTTTATACCTTGCAGGCTCGCCTCGATCAGACTCATGGAGAGGTCAAGCCGGCTGCCGCTTCACGACCGCTGACGAGACGGACTGCAACATCTCTCGACCATCAAGAGGGGGAGCGGATCAAGGCAAGTGCCAGCCGTGTCCATCGAGGGGCTCTGCTCGCCTTCCAGCGATACTCCCACGCTCGAAAGTCCCCTCGACGACGGTTGAGCTCCCGGCGATATGCTTGCTATGCTCAAGGGACACTGTTGTGCACTGTCGACCTTGAGCGTTTCCTTTTTCCGCGATGGCAATGGGAAGGCCAGCCGACCCTGCTGGATGGGCTTTGCGAGCTGAACCAGCATGTCTCCGTCGCCTGGTCATTCGCAGAGGGGAAGGCAGACGGTCGAGAGGCGGCCACGGAGCACCGCCGGCGGACCAGACGTCGACAAGGTCAGAGGCTCGAAAAGGCTCTCGGCGATACGTTTAGCTCAGCTGTTCCGGGCCGCGTCGAGCCGGTGATCGCTGCGAGGTCCCTTTGAAGGCTGACGATGCGGCAATAGCGACAGCAACAACGATTGCGACCGCAAGACAGTGGCCAAGGACTTCTGATGGGCTGACAGAGCATGTCGAGCCCGGCGACGTCCGATGCACCTGCTGGCCTGCCCGTCGATATGCTCATCGCGGCCTTTCCTTTTCGCTTGCAAAGCTCAAACTCTGCGGCGGATGTCGTACGCCGCATGGTTCACACGTCAAGTCGTCAGAAGGTTTGAGCTGCAGGGGGCCCAGGTTGAGGCTAGGGCGGAGCGGTCTCTTTGCGATTAATCATCGTCGTCGTCGTCGACAGTCGTCGTCGCCCATGTCTATCGTCGCATGCCCGGGTCGTGATCCGCCCTGGCCCGCTTCGGGATTGCTGCAGCAGGGTGAAGCAGACGGCACGGCGCTGCAGCGGGTGTCGGTAGGCTCAGACGCAAAGGAAGAGGGAGGAGATGGGTAGAGTTCAGCCGGGCGTGCGCCTGTCGGCGGGCAAACGGGGATCCGTCGGAGATGGCCAAGAGCTTCACTCGTCGTCGAGCTGTACAGCATCAAGGTGGCAACAGCATGATCAGGAGCAAGAGGGAATGCAAAACGTCAGTCATCGATGCGCTTCTCTTTGGTGTGGGAACGAGCGCAACTTTTGGGGTTAGGTCTGGCGCGGACCTCCGCGTCGGCCTCCCTCTTGCGAGTCCACGGGCCCATGCTCATCCAAAGACCATCCCATCGACTGGCGACCCCTAAAACCAGAGTCAATGCAAGAAGACCGAGGGGCATGCTGGTGACGTACCTCGACGGTGAAGCTGGTAATCTGGGGCAGGTAGGCGCACGCGGCGAGGTCGAGATAGTAGAGGTCGTCGAAGATGTCCTTGCCGTCGAAGCCGCCGTGGACAAAGAGCCTCGAGTCGCGCAGCCAGGCCTGGTGGTAGCCGCGCCCCGGCGGCTTGGCTCCGCACACCCTGCGCGGCTCCCACTGCAGGTTGACCAGGTTGAGCGTGAGCAGCTCGTCGGTGTACGTCTTGCTGTCGTGGCCGCCAAAGACGAAGAGGTAGCTGCCCACCTGGGTGGCCGTGTGGCCGAGGCGGTTGTGGATCTCGTCGGTCTTGACCTGGTACCAGGTGCGCGTGTCGAGGCGGAGGATGTGGATGTCGTTGAACGACATGTGGCCGTCGCTGCCGCCAATGACGATCAGCTTGCCGTCGACGAGGTTGGTTGTGTGGTAGCCGCGGCCGATGGGGATCTTGCCCTTGCACTCGAGCCTGCGCCACTCGAGCTTCGAGAGGTCGTGGACGTCGAGCGCGTGGACGTCGTTGAGCGCGCCGACGCCGTTGCCGCCGCCAAAGACGATCAGCTGGCCCTCGTGGTAGTTGCAGGTGTGGGCGCGGCGCGGGCTGGGTGGCGTGCCGCCAATCTCGGGCTTTGACCAGCGCAGCGAGACGGTGTCAAACACGTAGAGGTCGTTGAAGTAGTTGGGACCGTCGCCGCCGGCAAAGACAAAGAGTCGCTGGTTGACCATGGTGGCGCTGTGTGCGCGGCGGGCCGGGGGCACCTCGCCCGTCACCTTGGGCTTGGACCAGCACATGGTCTCGGTGTCGAAGCACCACAGGTCGCGGAAGCAGCCCTTGTTGTCGCAGCCGCCAAACAGCCAGAGCACCTCGTCGCAGAGGTTGGCCGTGTGCGCCCGGAAGCTCCGCCGCGGCACGCTGCCGTGGACGGGCGCCTTGGACCAGTACATGGCCGGCGGCGGCGCCGGCTTCACGGTGGGCGCCGACGGCAGCTGGGGTAGCGTCCTCGAGGCCGACTTGGCGCCCCGCGAGGCGTCGGTGCGTGAGGAATGGTGGGTCCCGCCGGTGCTCGAGCCATGGCGAGCCGAGCCCGATGTCGAGGCCCCGCCCGCAGCGGCTCGATCCCGATCGTTGCGGCTGGGCCGGTCCCGCGAAGTTGTCGCTGACGGCGCCTTGGTCTCGGAAAGCACCGCAGCATTGCGGCTGCCGGAGCGCGCCATTGGTTCCGCGCGGCTTGGCCGGGCAGGAGGAGCCGTCTCCGACCGTGCCGCCGAGGACTGCGCGGGGGCTCCAGCGGCACGCGCTGACCGAGCTTCGCGGTGTTCTTGCGGGCCTGCGACCGCGCTCACAGCCGCTGCGGGCGACGGGCTGGCCCGAGACGACTCCTCGTCGCCTGCAGAGGCCTTGGACGACGGCGGCCGCAGCGATTCCGACGCCCGGCTGACCTGGGAGATGGGGGAGAGCGGCAGGGCGCTGGTCGGGCTGGTGCCGTTGGAGGCCTGAGCGTGTGCGGCCGCATCGAGCGCCGATATAGGCAGGCTGAGGCTGTCGCGCCCTCGGGCCGAGACCCCGGTCGCGGACGAGCCCGAGCCGATCTCGGCCGCCAGCGACTGGGAGCGCGAGATGGCGCGATTGAGCGAATCAATGCCCGGACCGTTTCCGGACGAGGCCTGCTGCTGCTCGGGTCTCTCGGCCATCGTGCTCCCGGGCGCACTTGATTCGCTCGCGTTGCCAGCACCACCGCTGACTGTCGTGGCAGTGCTAGACGACGGTGCCGCTGCTGCTGCGGCCGCCGCCGCCGCAGAAAGAGAAGAGGCCCTGCCACTCGTGTGACGGCCGCTCGACGTCCCTGCGCTCCGGCTGCCATTGCTGCCGCCGTTGCTGCCGCCGCTGCTTCTCGGCGCGGAGCTCCGACCGCCGACGCTGCCCATGACCTCAACCGGCTCCGCGCCTGACGAAGTCGAGGAGGTGCCAGGTCCATCGCTGTGTGCATCTGCCCTGAACGTCCCATGGCCCGCAAAAGTCGACGCCGTGTCGGGACGCCGAGGTGGTGAATCTTCGACCATGGTCGTCGACGCCTGGCGGGACCTGCCGTACAGCTGTTGCCGCGAGTCGTCCGCGGCAGGTGTCTCCAGCCCTCGCCAACCGCCCGAAGCCGAGGTGCCACCCGAGGTGTTGGCGGCGTCTTTCGAGTATCCGCCGATGGGTGATGAGCGCTGGATCCCATGGAGCCCGCCGAAGGAGTCCTTGTGCGCGAGCGTGGAGCCGCCGTGGTGGTGGCTGGCGTGCCGTCGGAACGTGCCTCCCGCCGTGTCGCCGGGCCCGCCGAATGAAGCAGAGACGGGAAGGTCTGAAGACGATTCTCCGTCCACCGGGCTCGATACCGAGCTTTCGTAAAACACCGGGCCGGCGTGCTTTGCCGGCATCGCCGAGGCTTTGCGGGCAGCGGCCATCGCAGCGTCGTAGGTGGCATAGGACCTCGCCGTGGGCGACTGCGCCAGCGAAGAGGATCCCGAGCTGTGCATGCTCAGGCCGGTGGGCATCGTCTGCGACGTATGGAGCCCGAGCCTGCCGACGTCGTCGGTCAGTCGAGCCAGCTGGGCCGATGCGTCTCCGTAGCCGGCGCCGCTCGCAGGATCGCCAGCCCTATGCGACCCGGCATGAGCCGAAGAGGGGTTCGACATGTTGGAGGTCGGTCACGCCCGGCAGCTACGCGAGCGGCGCTACGGCTCTCCGTTTGAGAGGCAGGATGGGCAGGGTTGGTCGCCAAGCCCTCCCTTCAAAAGCCCGTCTTGTCTGCGTGGATGGACCTGGTCGCCACGCTTACGGCTCGTTGTGACCAAGGCGAGGCGGCGCCAGGTGTCGGTGGCGGATGGGGCCGGGTGGCGTAGTAAATGGCAGGCTAGAGCTAGGCAAGCTGCTTCTCAAGCATCGGAATCGCTGCCGATGCTCTGCGGCGAAGCGTTCGGAGAGGCCGGCGGCAGAAGGCACGTCGTCCAGGGGCGAGCTTCTCTGTTCGAAGCGTCGCAGTGCGGGACTGGCGTCTCCGGGGCTACCGCACGCGGGTAGGACAGGATACGTAGATGTGTAGGTCGTGGTGGATAGAAGAGGTAGGTGGGGTATCGAGCAAGCAGGTTGAATGACGAGGGAGGGCAAGGGGGCCAGGCAGGATGCAGGCAAGCGGAGATAGACAGGCAGAGGAAGCGGCAGGCGGAGCTGGGGCCCAGCCAGAGAGAGGCCTGCGAGCGGTCCGCCACGCCGCTTGGGCAGAGAAGCCTAGCCTGCCTCTCTAGCTTTGGTCTGGCGTGGGCCAGCCCGGCCTCGTCTTGCCGGCCCTGCCTGCATTATTGCCTTTCATGCAGGCGATATTCAGCCCCACCAAGGTCAAGGCGGCCGGCTCTTCGCGGCCTCTCTGGACCGTCAGACCCGCTCCCGCTCCCGCTTGCTGTGAGCTCGCCGTTTCTCTGGCAGCTCGTGCGGTCTGCTGGCCGTCGAGCAGAAGCAAGAGACGGCGGACGATGGGCCGACAGAGAGGCTTCTTGGCCTTTGTGCCCACAACCAAGGCGAAGAGAGGCCTCGGCGTCGTCGACAAAAATGGCCTGCCAGGCCAGGCCCGCGGCGGATCCAGTGCGGCCCGCTCAGTGTTCGGCTCCGAGATGGTGCCGCCGTGCGCCGCGTGCGAAGGAGCGAGCAAGCGAGCAGGCTGCGAAGACCAACACACCAGCCTCGGGCACGCGAGCCGTGTGGAGAAGAGGCAGGCCAGCCAGCCAGCCGGCCAGCCAGCCCAGCCTGGGCCTGGCGAGGTGGAGCGGGCAGCCTGGTCGGTGCTCGACCCCTGCCTAGCTCTTCCTACTCCTCCCTTCCCTCGATCGACGGCCATCAAACACGACGCTCCACAAGCTGCTACCACGACGGGCCACTGCTCCACTCGCTCAACGACTGACTCGCCGCTCAATACCAGCGGCCTCGTCAGGTCACCAACCTCCCTCCCCCCTCACTTCGACAAGGACGCCGTCCGACTAGCGAGGCCCACCTTTGACGCAGCCTCGACCTTGCTGCGCGTGGCTTCCCTCCGCAGCGGGCCTCGCCCAGGATGGCCTACTCGAACTCGTCGCGGGCGCTGGCCTTCCTCACCGAGACGTCCGAGGATGCCATCGCCGCGCTCAAGGGCATCGTCGGCGGCGCCGGGTCGGCAAAGTACCTCGACACGTCCGAGGACAAGGTGTCGCTCATCACGTCCCAGATCGACTCGAGCCGCGACGAGGATCGCATCCACGGCCTCACCCGCATCGTCGCCATGATCTCAAAGGGCAGGGACGCCTCGAGCTTCCTGCCCGGCGTGCTCAAGCTCACCTCGTCCACCAACATGGATGTCCGCAAGCTCGTCTACATCATCCTCCTCCGCTACGGCAACAGCAACCCGGACCTCACGCTGCTCAGCATCAACAGCTTCCAGCGCGACCTCTCGGACCCCAGCCCCCTCATCCGCGCCATGGCCCTGCGTGTCCTCAGCGCCATCAAGGTCAAGATGGTCTCGGCCATCGTCCTCATGGCCGTCTCCAAGGCCACCCGCGACCCCAACCTCTACGTCCGCAAGATCGCCGCCCTCGCCGTGCCAAAGTGCTTCGAGCTCGACCGCACCCAGCTGCCCTCGCTCCTCGAGAGCCTCTCGACGCTCCTCTCTGACCGGTCCCCCTTTGTCCTCGGCGCAGCCTTGGCGGCGTTCCAGGAGATGTGCCCGGATCGGTGGGACCTGCTGCATCCGCACTACCGCAAGATCTGCCACGCGCTTGCCGACGTGGACGAGTGGGGCCAGATCACCTGCCTCGAGGTGCTGATGCGCTACTCGAGGGCCAACTTCGTCCAGCCCACCGTCGCATCGCTCGCTTCGCCAGGTCAGGGGCAAGAGGCCCAGGTCGAAGCGTCGGGCCAGGCATCATCCGGCAGCGGCCGGGAGAAAACCGGAGCGACGGCGGCCAGGTCCGAGACGCGCGCAGCTGCCCCTGCCTCTGCCCCGAAGGCCATGCACTCGGCTCTCGAGAGCTTCCTCGAGGGGGAAGAAGGGCCTCGGACAGACGCCATCGGGACGGCATCACCCAGCAGCGGCGAGAAGCCATCCTCGTCGTCGTCCACTTCAGCCTCGGCATCGATCGACCGGGACCTGGAGCTGCTGCTGGTCAAGGCCGAGCCGCTGCTGCAGAACCGCAACCCGGCCGTCGTGATGGCCGCCGCTCGCCTCATCTACTATCTGGCCCCGGCCTCGCGCCACCACGTGCTCGCGAGGCCGATTGTGCGGCTAGTGTCGCGATCGACGCCGGACGTCGTCTACCTCGTCCTGCTGAGCGCCCTCGACATTGCGCGTTCCTCGCCGGAGCTGTTTGCGCCCTACGCTACCGCCTTCTTCCTCGGTCCCGCCCACGTCGAGCCTGCGCACGTCTCGCTGCTCAAGCTCGACATGCTGACGGTGGTCTGCAACCGGGTCAACGTCGCGCTGGCGCTGCCCGAACTGGCGGAGCACGTGCGGTCGCCCTCGGACCTGATCGCCACGCACGCCGTCGGCTGCCTCGGCCGGCTGGCAGCCAAGCTGCCCGACGCCTGCAGGGACAGATGCCTGGCCGCCCTCCTCGACCTGCTCAAGCAGAAGCAGAGGAGAGAGGGGGCGATCAAGGCATCGGCCAGAGATGCGGTCGTGGCCAAGGCCGTGCTGATCATCAAGGACCTCGTCCACGACCAGCGGCAGGAGGGAGGCGCCGGCAGCGCGGCTGGTGGCGAGACGACCGCCTCGATCGTCCTTCGGCTGGCCTCGCTGCTGTTCGGCGCCCCGCCAAAGCCGTCGGCGTCGGCGACAGAGGCATCGGCAGGCGCTGCGGCGAGGAAAAAGAGACCCAAGGTCGTGGGCAAGGGCGCCATACTGCACCCGGGCGCGCGCGCCAGCATCCTCTGGCTGCTAGGCCAGGACTGCCGCGAGGTGGTGCCGCAGCCCTCGTCGGCGCTGGGCGCTGGCAAGACGCTGGCCGAGCTGGTGCTGCCCGACATCCTGCGCCGCTGCGCCATCAACTTTGCCAACGAGGCGTCGATCGTCAAGTTGCAGATCCTCACCGTGTCGACCAAGGTGTTTGCCTTCCTCCCCTCGGCGGTGGCCGCATCCGAAGACGCGGCGCAGCTGATCGAGGCCGTGACCAAAGTCCACTTCTACCTGCTGCGGCTGGCGCGCTACGACCTCGACTTTGACGTGCGCGACCGCGCCCGCCTCTGCAAGGGCCTGACGGCGGGCCTGGTCGACGTGCCGGCCACCTCGTCGCCGTCGCCGTCGCAGCATGCCGACGACGGCAGGGATGGAGGGATCGCGCGGGAGATCCTCGACGCCGTCCGGCGCGCGACGCAGGCGGTAGGCGAGTGGTCCGAAGAAGGCGACGCCAACCTCAAGGGCGTGCGTTTGAGGCGCGAGCAGGTGGTCCATATCCTGTTTGAGGGCAAGTCGATCCCCTCGGACCTGGCCGACCAGCTCGAGGCGGACCGGAAGCGGGAGCCAGACAGCATCGGCGGCAGCGGCGGTGGCACCGCGCTGGCCTCGAAGCTGGGGAGCCTGTCGCTGGCGCTGGACGGCAAGCTGATCCGGGGCTGGCACGCGACGGCGCTGCCGCCCTGGAGCACGCCCGAAGACGCCACGCCGGCGTCGAAACGCGATCCGCCGCCGCTACCGTCTACCGCGCCCTCCGGCGGCCTGAGCGCTGGCGGGTCCGGTACCACGACGCCGCTCTCGGCCTCGGCGCTGGCCAGCG